TATATATATATATATATATAATTGCAGTTTGCCCCTACAATCTCAGATGTTCCTCCTACAGATGTACATTCCTAGTGAGTTTGATGTTGATTGGAGATGGTCCTGCAAAGTAAGTCCTCACATGTACTGGCCAGTATCCCTCCTCCTACTGCAGATTGGATGACAAATGCCCACTGCCACCAGGTTTTGGACTGGAGATGCATCCCAGGTTTGTGGACCCTCTTCTTACCATCTGCTGGATGTTGGTTCTCGGTGGATGTGGTGTTCGTTGTAGCTGGACACAGCACGTTTTTCTGCTTGTGTACGGCCAGATATACTCCTCTCACCACAACTAGAAGTACTATAGGAAGATGCTAACTTCCGATACAATATTTTATCTCCTCTCACAAAATAGATAGAATCCCACACTGAACTGATGGAGGGCTGACAAAAAAAAAGATTCCCCTTTAGGAAGCACCCAAAAAGAACCCAGGGGGTGTAGAATCAAAAGAGAAAACATAGCACCTCAGGAGAAGACCACACCACATCTGATCCAAGTATACTCTTCGCTCTTTTATGATAGTGTTGTGAACATAAAATGTGAAAAAACAAAAAGGAGTCACAGAAATTGTATGACCAATGAATTGAACTCCAGGGTGTCATGTGGCTAGGGTGTGACAAACTGTAGTGGTAGTTTGACCTCATCCAAAACCAGGTAGGTAGAGGATCACCTACCTCTTTACTTTGAAATGGGGAATTGGTAGGGAAGATGAGCTTCTGTACCAAAATCCGTCACCACTTGCGCTCACTTCCAACACAACCAACACCAGATCTGCCACAAACCAGCAGACAGTAGGAAGGTAGTACTATATCCTGACACAATGAATACCAATAGATATTTACCTCCTCTCACATTTCCTACCTATTCTCCCCAATTCCAATGATATCTGGTGTTGGTCTTCTGACCAGTCTCAAAGTGATTAAGTAGTGCAGATGTGAGAGGACACTGGTTACGATAGGAGTGGTATTATACTCCTATTGGTGGAGAGCTGCTGCATGATCATTTGCATATGGATATGCAAAAGTGGGATGTGGAATGTTAGTAATGTGCATTGAAAATGTGACAGTAGAGGATAGTGCCAGTCGAGAAAAGCTGTTTTGTGAGAAGAGGTAAATATCTATCGGAAATACATTTTCGGTATAGGAAAATGCTAACTTTCTGCACAGAGAATTCTCTATTCCCTGATCCAGTTTCAAATTTGTTGTCGTAGGAATTACATTGACTAGCTTAGCCGAATTTTTAAGGCTCTTATTGCATAGTTAGAAAACCAGAATTATATTGATAGTTAAAGGACATTGTTTGCATTTTGTGTTATTATTCTGTGTTTTTAGTTGCATTATTTAATTAAATAAAAAATTATTTAATGTAATAGTACCATTAATATAAAAAAGTAGGCTTAAGAGTTATTGACAGTCAAGAGCAAAAAAATAAGAAGGCCAAGTTAAATACAATATTTATTGTTTTATATGTGTATCCTATATTTCATATTATAAATTATTTAACTAAAATGTAAAAATGAGAATCTTATTAGGTTAGATTAGGTAAGATACCAAAAAACATAATAATAATAAAAATTCCTTATGAGGTATGCTTGCGAGTAGCTCGTGGATTACGTAATTCGATATGGTAACATGAGCTGCATGTCCTCCAAGTGACGTACAACTTGTATGGCAGGATTATCAGTTAGAAATGGTTCAAAAGGCAATAAAGCTAAGTAGATGTATGATGTTACAAGCTTTAAACTGTTTAGGGTAAACAATTGTGGTTTCCTGTTACGATGTACACTCATTCCAGAAAGAAAAAAGGGTAATTTAGATTTGTTTTTTAACTTTTTATGGTGATTACGACATTGCTCTAATAGACCAACCCTACATAGAGTTATAGTATAGAAAATAGTGAATGAAATATATAGTTTTCTTTAATAAAACATTTAATATTTGTTTAGGAGGTTGTAAGGATTATGCAAATGAAAATTGAAAATTTTCAGATGAAGAAACATATTTTTAACGTTAACATGAAAATCACTTTACACTCTGAGCAGTCAACATTCTGACTCCATATAATTACAGAAAAAGTTTTAGTAAAACTAATTAAATAAAAATTCTGATTTTTTTTTATGACAAAAGATATTTATTGTTTTCTGAAAACTTGCAGAATTTTATGAAGGTACGTAAAGTACTTTTAAAATTATACTATGTATACCACCATGGTAACATGGTGGTTACAAGATTGTGTAAAATACACAAACCCATTATGAAAGTGTTAACTCCAGTTAATTTTTCTTCATTTTCCTTTTAAACATATCCTTACAAATGTTAAAATAAGGTATCAGATCTATCCTTTGTTTGCCAAAAATCACTGCCCTGAAGGTTTTCTTTCAATATTAAGCCTTGAGTGACTGAGTTAGGCCTATTATGTTCATAAGTTTTAGAAGTACTATTTCTATGCAGTACAAAAACCTGATACAGTACGTATAACACCAAAGCTGTCAAAGCAATGAGGAATGTGAAGAAGAAACATTGGCATTCAAGTATTATTTTACTGAAGGTTATTTATTTTCTAAATGAAATAACCACTGCAACATTCTATGAAACAAGTGTCCCATTCACACTGTCTGTGTAGGCAGTTTAAGTTGTTATGTTCCAGGGCTTGCCCCATAGACACCAAAAGAAATTTTATCTTAAGAATATACAATACTGCAGTGTATAAAAATTTGCAGAATATTTCAGGCCTTTATTGGTTAGGCCTGGCATGGCCAGGTGGTTAGGGTGCTCGACTCGCAATCTGAGGGTCGTGGGTTCGAATCCCCATCACACCAAACATGCTCGCCCTTTCAGCCGTGGGGGCATTAAAATGTGACAGTCAATCCCACTATTCGTTGGGAAAAAGAGTAGCCCAAAAATTGGTGGCGGGTGGTGATGACTAGCTGCCTTCCCTAGTCTTACACTGCTAAATTATGGATGGCTAGTGCAGATAGCCCTTGTGTAGCTTTGTGCGAAATTCAAAACAAAACAAATTTTATTGGTTTGTGGATATTGATAAATATCTATTAAGTGGTACATATGTGAGAAAAATACAGAGGTCAGTTTTTATATTGAAATTACTTTAATAAAATCTATAAAATTTATTTAGTAAGTAACCAACATTTTAAAATTGTTAGTTACACAACTATTTGAATAAGTATCATTCTCTTTTTGTTTTAAAAGAAATAGTTATGCAAAAAATATGGTTATTCCATGTTGTTTACAAGATTATTTTTGGAACTACAGTAAACATGTTTTATGCTTTTATTTGCATAAATATTAGCTTAACAAAACTTTTATGTCACATTAGTTTCTGATGGAGGATTTACAAAAAATAGATTACACAACATAATTAGTAAAATTTCTCAAATATTTAATGTAAAGCCTTTAATAAAAAGCTGTTCTTTGATAATTATTTGATACTGAATGTTATAGATTTAACAAGTGGGTGTACAAGATGTTATTGAACCAAGGTGACTTCATTCTGCAATCAGCATAAGACTCTAAGAAAGTAAATTTCAGCATCATTTATGTATTTCCTAGGCACATGTTCTCTATCTTTAATATTCCTCATTGAAAAAGGAAGATCTCTTATGTTGAAACTGGCAAATGTTCTATTAAACACTATTGTCATTCATTCATTTACTTTCACAGATTTTCTTTCTTAAGGAATGAAGAGACTTTCTGTTGATAATTTATTTTTAATGTAGCTTGGAGGAGGGTAAGATGAAAACTGTTGAATTACAGCGAGCTAATGAAGCCTTAGACAGAGCCCTTAAAGTAGAGCAACAGAGACGCCAACGTGTAGAAGAGGAATTAAACTATGCTCAAGAACAGATAGTTCTTGATGCACAGTCTCCAACCAAAAGAGAGGTTTGTTAGTTCTGAACATTCCTAAAATATTTTTTCTCAATTTTCCTTTTTCTCTATGTTAACTTAAATGTTAAAAGAATATTGATAATATTTTATTTTATTTTTTCTTCACAAATATCTCATGTTTATGGTTCAAGACTTAATGGTCAGATGAAGGAAGAGTTTATTCAAAGACATCCCAATCAATTTGACCATACCAGCTGAATCAAAGACTTGTTAATTGAGTACTGCATCAATAGCGAAACATAAAAAATGGGTACAATGAATTCATTATCTTCAAAGAAGGGTGATTGGAAACATATATAAGAAATAATTAGCTTCAATATTTTGTGAAATTAACAACACAGTAAAGCCAAAAAATGTACAGTGTTGAAATTGAAGCAGATGAATGATTCATTACAAAATTATTTCCCTAGTAATTCTCAAATTAAATAAGCCATTTCTCTAATGAAGAGTAAGTATAAGTATAATACCCAGTATGATACCACCATAGTATAATCCATATAGATTTCATCATGTCATATTTTTCATTAATATTTAGTTTTTTTTCCATTTTAGAAGAAGTGCCAAGCTTCATTCATTGAGATCTGTTGAAATAACCCTAAGTAAACATCTTCTAGAATGAGCCCCCTGTTAGCCATCTTAGGTACAGTAATAAAAGATGCTGGGTTGGCTTGTGTGACAGGTGTTAAAAAACAAAGCCATTACAACACTTATTATTTGGCACAAAAACTTGTGATAATACTAGATAAACTGCTTGCAGAGATTAAAATAATTCATTACAAAGAGATTTGAGTATTATAAGAAATATTAAAAATACAGTAATATAAAAAAAAACTTAATTACAGATGTTTCAGAGTTTTTTATAATTCCTTCATTAACAAATTTTTAAGCAAGAAATTGTTGATGTAGATGGAAGTTTAGAAAGAATGCATGAAGACAATTAAAATACCTTTAAATATGATGGTACAGATTGGAAGAAACGTGTGTACTGAGAAATCAATAAGTCTTGCTATACTAGACTGTGTTTTAATGCCATTTGATGACCTTCCGCCAAATCTTAAGCTACTCTTTTCCCAGCAAATAGTGGGATTGACTGTTGTACTGTCACAACATACAAATTAAACACACAAAACATGACAGATATTATTATTTAAGTCACTGACCTATTGATTTAATTATGACAAGCTTTACATTGAAGCATTTTAAAGGGAAAACAAATGCCTGGCTGTGCAACTCGATCATTGCCTTTCCTCTGGTCAACAACTCAAAATTAAGGACAGTGCCATATAGCTTTGTCATTACTCAAAAACAAAAAAGATGGCCCCCCCACAGCTGATAGAGCGAGCATGATTGGTGGTAATTGGAATCAAACCTGCATTCTTTGAATCATGAGGCAACCACCTTAATCAGTAATCACTAGGCTATGCCACCCCAAAGTTGGAAAATTGGAATAATCAAAAACTAATTTTGATTAGCTGACTGTTTTTGCTACGTTAATGGATTTTATCGTAATTTTGATCAGTTGATTATTTTACATGACACTAATGAATGCGATCGATTCTTATAGGTAATTAAGTTAATTGCCCAGATTTTGTGAAAATGAAGAAAAGTATGATAATTTCACATGTTAAATCTTAGTACCAAGATTCTAAGCTGTACCTAAAAAAGGCTAACTGCCACAGTATTAAGGTCAACGGAATTTAAATACAGAAAACCATGTTCAATATAGCTTGCTAAAGATGGAATATGTATATTCTGAAATGTTCAAAAATTAAATGTTTGTTGCTGAACATAAATGTTCGTTGTTGCTGCTGTCATCCTGTTGTTCATCATTGAACTTCGATTCCCATCGATGAATCTGTGGAAAGCCTTTATGATTAGAAAATCCAATTTTACCATGAAATTCCTTACTATGACACATGCTATAGTAATTGTATTAAGTTTTAATTTACATAACACAGTTCAGTGCTAGTCTAATCTGAAGTAGTGAATCCCATTTGTGTGTGTTTGGTGTACAAATATACAGGAAGCTTTTTTTTAGTGAGAAACTTGAGTTTTTCTTGTCTGTGCACAGACCCCCCCCCCCACCCAAACCATAGACCATACTCTACTGCATGACTGTTGTGCATACCTGATCCTAGAATACCAAAACCTGAATGTTAAAAGTATACCTCTCTTGTAGCCAGAATGTTAAAAGTATACCTCTCTTGTACTAATATGTTGAATTAAGGTGTTGTTAATTTATCAGTTCATAAGTTTTTAATTTGTTTCTTAGTGCATCAATGTTAAAAAGTTTGCCTGATGTTCACTAAATTGGACAGTCCTTCAAATTAAACGTTTTAAGCAGTTCTTGGATGTGTGTGGAGAAAATTTGAAAACTTCTGTGTTCCAATAAAGATGATAAACCTTGTCCTCATTTCAGTAAAACTCACTTTATGATAATAAACAGAAAATGTACGAGTAAATGTAATCAGGCATATTATTTTTTTATGTGTTAATACTTTCAGTATTGTCTACTGTTGGAGGATGACAGACCTCAGATGGTACTAGAAACCAATTATTCCATATGTAAGTATATCAGGTCTAATGTTGTGTCCTAGTGGAGTCTTGTTTAATATTACAATGCTAGTTTCAGAATGTTTAAGAATGTAAATGCAGAGACTACATACTTCAGATATAAAGTAGGATAACCATTGAATATGTTTGGACCTAAATTAGATTTTTTGGTAAATATACAATTTATAATGATAATAAATACTACACAACATAGCTATATAGCAGTTCATTGTGCTGTACACATGTAACCATTGACCTGAGAGCCAGGTTTCACATTAAACTGACTACATTGATCCTGTGATTCAAGATTCATCAGTTTTGTTCTTATATAATGTTATTCATTTCTCATAGTAAGTAATTATCTCATAAAGAGAAATTTGTATTCATCATTTAGGCCAACTTGTATAACTTTGAACAGTCATGTTATTTATTTTTTCATCTATTTACTTCCAACAAATCCATGCAGTTTTTTTTTAACTATTATAAATAGTATTTATCTTACTGTTTATAAAAATTACCTTTGTAACCCTTTTTGGAAATTATGTACAAATGTTTCAAAATGAGCCACGTATCTCTAACTTCATGCCACAACATAGGCCATCATATCTAACTTCATGCCACAACATAGGCCATCATAAGAATCCATTAGTTTCAAATTGCCAGTGGGAGTTTCTGTAAAGCAAAAAGCAACTGTCAAAGTAATTAGTTCATCAAAATAAATAAATAGATACAATCACACATATATGTGTAATTTGTCCTCCATTTTGGTTATCATCTTCCAGGAAGTACTGAGAAAGACTGCATTCCTAGTGGTAGTAGCTAGACTTAGGACTTGGGTATTCTTGATAGAAAGGGTGGTGCACTATCCACTCATCCAGTCTCCCAACCCTGTTAGGACTTGACTGCTTTCAAGAAGGGGTAACCACGTACTGATGACTTCCATGCTAGATTTACTGAGTGTAATATCAGTTGCATGTATGTAGAAGGCTTTTGTCATCTTTCTTTTTCTCATGTGTGGTTCATATACCATTATTTTTGTATTATTCCTAAAGATTCAAAGGAGCAAACACCCCATTTATAAACTCCCTTAATGACGTGGACTCTAGTACATTGGAGAAACAAAATCACCAATGAAACTTAGAATTCAGGATAGTAATATACACTGTAATATCAATCTATCTTGTATAGCTAATGATGTGAGTGAAAAAAGCCATACAGTAAAATGTAAAAATAAGTAATTAATGTGATATAAGCCACACACAAGAAAAATATAGATAAAATAATCTTTATACATTCACCTAACTGATAATACATACTGTCAACCTAGTATAGAAGTCAGAGAAACCTAGATACCTCTCTTGAAAACATTAACATAGGTAGTTATTGAAATCCTAATGGAAGACTCCAGAAGAGTGGATATTCCACTAGCTCTTCCTCAAGAAGAATGAAGGTCAATTTCGGGCTACTACGATAACAAAACCCAGTTCTTCTTCAGACCTGAAGATGACAGCAGATCACCAGCAAAACATAAGATGTAAACTATTGTCTAGTAAGATTATTGTCCAGTTAATAATTCGACTTAGTTAATAACATAGACTACTAATTCCGATACAATATCTTACCTCCTGGCATAAAATAGCTTTTCTAGATTAACACTGCCCTCTAGCGGTGCAAATTTTCAATGCACTCCACTAGTCTTTCATCTTCCACTTCTGCGTATCCACATGTAAATGATCACACAGCAGCTCTCTACGAATAGGAGCAAGACACCACACCTATCATAACCAGTGCCCTCTTCACACCTACACTTGTTAATCACTTCTTGATTGGCAGTAATACTGTTTTTTTATCAGGAATTTGTCAATGTTTTATATTATACTATTGACTTTTTTTTTTAACTTGTTATTAAAATTTTCTCATTTTGGTATTGTGAAAAGTTGCTTTTTTTTTCTTTCAAGTTTTTCTTACTTTCTCAGGGGCCTTTTTGTTATTGTATTGTGGATCTCACTCTGTGGCAAGTGGTGCCTGACCAGACATACTTATTGTTTTTTAAAATCCACACTGTCCATTCGGCAAATGTACTCGATGTTACTTACATCGTAGCCCTTCCTACCATAGACCTGATGTACAATTCCAGATGCTGCCAGATGTTGGTTGTGTGTCTCCATTTTATTGTTATCTGTGACTAAACAATTATGTTGCAGGTTTGGGTTATGTACACCGTAGAGTTGAGGTGTTCCATAGGACTGCTAGTAGTTCTCTCTAGTGGTTTTTTGCTTCATAAATATGCTCGTCCCAGACCGTACACTCGTAGACTAACATGAGTAAAGCAGACAGAGATTGCTGACCATCTCTGCTGCTCCATGGCATTGAGTCTCTTCCTACCTTGGACCTGATGTACAGTTCCAGATGACATCTGATTTTGGTTGATCGACTCCATTGACATTCTTCTGAATGATTATAAAATCAATTCAAATAAAATAATAAAAATATATGATTGATGTTTAAAAATAAGATAAATAATATTGTGTTATAAAATCCTCACTCTAAAAATTTTAGTTTGTAAAATGACATAAATAAAATTCATAATTACTGAAATTTGCTTAACTTAATCTAGTTCACACCATAATAGTCATTCATGAAATTTGATGATGTAAATAGGGCCTGATGAGCCCTGATATTGTGTGAAAGACATCATCGGCACTATATATGGCAGATGTAATACGGTTGACATATATTCTTCTCTCCTTTCACTCATAAGTTCTTAGAATTATTAGCCCTTTAACTATGGCTGCTTTAAATGCACATGGAAATATTACAGCACACTCATATTCCACTGCTGGAATGCGGACCGTACCCTATATGGCGAATCGGCAGTCAATGGGTAAACACTGTGGTCACTCAAACTGCTCTGGGTACAAGAAGACTAGCTAGCTGGTTCACCAGAAAATTTTAAGTTTAATCATTGATAATAATATTAAGAGTTTGATTTACTGTACTCATATACTTGGAGTAGTTAATGACCACATTGTCACTTCAAGAACATCTTTTTAGTTCTCTA